CTCTGAATGTTCGATTGTGAATGTTGGCATCGCCGAAGTCCTTCGGCATCACTTGCGGAATCGAGTTCTTCTTTGTCATGTGCTTGTGGAGGTAGAACTTCAAGCCAGCGAAGACCGGCCAGAAGTCGAAGTGTGCTTCACTCTGGGCGTCCGCTGTAACGCCAAGCCTGGCGGAAGGCTTTGCAATCTCCGCGAGAGACCACTTGTGCATGTCCTCGTGGTTGTTGTAAAAAAGAACGGCGGGTAGCGTCCAGACCGGATACTCCGTGACTGGATATTTCTTCGGTCGTGTTACTAGCAAGTCGAACTTCGCCTCCGCGCTTTGAGCAAGCTTAATAGCCGTATCCGTGGTCATGGCTGCCACAATCAAGTCGACTTTGCCACTCTTGCATTTCTGCCAGTTGTCACGGACCACCTCCCTCATGTCCTGTTGCTCCTGTAGCATAAGCGCAACAGCAATCCAGAAGTCGTCCTCTTTGTCTTCCTCAGCTTCCTCGAGCGTGACATTAGATACGTCAGGGAGTGTATCTTCCGCAATATCTTCCTCGTCGGCTAGTGCCACAAGCTCATCGACGGTCAGCCCCGCGAAGCGATTGCGTGACGATAAGTCAGCCACATTAGTAGCGGAACCATTGTTGCGTGCGATTTCCGGTCCGCCCGACCCGAGGAATGGCTTGAGGGATGCGAAGGTGTCCTCGAGAACCTTGATGAAGTATTCGTGCCGCAGGTCACTGTTCGTATCCGGGTTGACTTTCGCCTTGTACCATTGCGAGACCTTCCGACGTGTCTGAATGGCGCGACTGAAGTGCCTGCATAAAGCAACAGGGACCATAATCTCAGACTCTGCTTCTTCTCCAGCTTTTGCTATCGCTTCTGCCATGGGTACAAAGTCCGATACTCCGAGTTGGTATACTGTGCCACCACCTCCACCTTTCGCATTCTGGTTGCCTTTCCTGCCTGCAGCCTTTTTCGATTTCGATTTCGACTTCGTCTGTTTTTGTTCCTTCGTTTTAACTTCGAAGCCGATGGACGCGGCGGTTTCGGCAATCCATCCTGCGATGTATTCGGTGGCTCGCTTGTACAAGGTGTACTTGGCGAGGAAGGTCTGTGGCTCATTGAGACCGACATGATGTGACCCGATTCGAGGCAGAGAAGCGCTCGATGTTCTCGTTCTGTGATGGGTGGGGTGCCTGAGTGCGACGATGGCGGTTCTTGGTGCTGCCGCAGCTCGTATAGCTCCGAATGAGAAGGCGGGCAAACCCTGCCGAGCGCCGCTAGCCCTATTTTCCACAGCACGTGACCCCAGAAAGGCGGGGCACAGAACTATCAGCGAGCGCGACTCATAACGGCCCGAATTGATTCAAACAATCAACTACGCCTCAGGTCCATTGGTATAATACGGCGTGATATCAACGTAGTCGTGGTATGCTAGCGAAACGGAATATCAAAATGATCAGATTGCTGGAATATGCACAACACGTATCCTGTTTTAGAGTGCCTAGGTATGCTCGACATCCCAATCAGAAACTGTCCATGTAAAGAGAGCTTTGGGACCTCAAAACCAGCTGCTGTACTCGTTTGTCAAGCTCATCCTACTCTATTCTTCGTTGCGATGTAGCAATGAATTTAGGGCAGGTCTATTGAATCATCCGCTTCTCGACTATCGCAGGCTTCTGGGTCAGATGTATACCTAGGTAATCACGACCGGATGCAAGCTCCTTAGCTATAGTTTTTGCGACGCCTTCATTCGGAGTCTTGGAGTCGCCCAAACCACGATGGCGATTCGGAACTTGCAGAGGCAAATATGGTTGAAAGCGGAATCTAAGGCTGACGAAATCTCACTTGCACTTGTTGCAAGCCATATTGATCGAAAGAAAGAGAACAGGGCTGTTTCTATAGCAAGAAGCGCAGTAGGTATGGAGGATATCAGTATCCGCAGTACAGATTGAGTAGCGGTGAAGGACGCCATTTACAAATCTCTACATGGACTTTGGTAGTCGCCAAAAAGGTTATTTGAACTGTCAAATCAGCGGTCAGTTAAGGCTACTGTAGTCTGTATTCGGCTATCGTCGTCCACTTTGCTATGGTGTTGGTTCGAGATCTTAGTCGCGCCGTAGCGGCATCGTGGCGTTTGTAGACCCGACCAAGCGCCAGATCAATCAAACTCAAAGTTGACATTCACGCCGTCGAATGGAGTCTTGTCTGTAGTAGCAGTCTGACTGCAGAGGTCGATTAGAATCTGTCCCTGGGGTTATTCTAGAACAACATGAGGAGAGCGGTGACTGTGGGCGGATGGATGCCGAAGAGCTTCGGAGCATGGCCGTGCCCTTCCTGGTGTGTCGCAAATGTCCCTGGCACATCAGGCACATGGCCACATTCCATCGCAATGCGCGAGCATCTCAGTACCATGGCGTCGCATTGCTTCTGGCCCTCCAACTACGCGCTGCATGTGCTGTACTTACCGCCTTGAGCTGTCACGTCCGCTCCTGAGTTTCGTCGACCCTGCGCCACCACACGCACTAGGCCATCAGCCTCGCCGCCCTCGCGTAAATAGGATGGCAGGATCGCGTGGAAGAATGCGTTTCGCCTCGAAGAATGCACTTCAGTTAAATGAAGTGTTTGTCGCGATTGGCTGGTCGATAGCAAAATGATGTAAATCGTCCTGCACGACTTGTTCAGATCTTGCTGCGTTGTCAGGAACCGGGTCTTTGTTGTGACGTAGATCGATGCAAGCGAGGTCGGCTGCTCGGGCTGTCACGCCAGGATCAGGCAAGGCGCGGTCAAGTGGGGCTTAACGGCCGCCTGGGCATGCAACGTTCCGTTCCATACATTTTCACAACGTCTCCTGAGATGGGCATGGTCTTTCGTCATTTAGGTCCGATTGCAGGTACCGTTGTGCTGACCAGATAATTGCGAATGGCCTCATCCAAACTCTAACGGATATTGCGGATGTACATGTCAGCCTTACAAGAATTCGCACAATTTGACAGCCTTTGTCGTTTGAACTTTGTGAGTACCTATAGATTCCCATCCTTGTGCTATATCAAACGCTAGCCGAACCATCACCAGGTTTTCCACCGTGTTACAGGGCTTCCTTGGAAGCTGGTTCTAGATTCCCATTCGCCAATACCCTTGCTAAACCCCTTAGCCCCACGTTTCGATCGCTTTTCTGGACTTCGTCACACCTACCTCTAGCATCATCGGATGGCGTATTGAGGCGCTTGAGTTCTTTGACAGCTGTTTGCCACACCTTGTCATGGGTTAGCTCTGGTAAATCTACCGGTTGCTAAAGAAAGATTTTCAAGGTTGGAATGAACGCGTGGTGTGGGTGACGATGAAGCATCGCCTCCACCAAGTCGATCGGTCAATGCAAGACTACAATCGTGTACACATTCTCATATCCGCATGAATACACTTTCATGCTAGGTGCCGTGCAGGCGGTGTATGCGCACTCAGACCACATCCACAAGCGTTTGACTTGGTGAACTTGAGGCTCGGAGATGAGCCTTATGCAGCGCCTGTGAACGAGCGCTCCGGTAGCCGGTACCCCAGCTTAGTGTACGTCACTGGCGTTGAAGCCTCAACTCGTGGAGGGTGTCCGACCACCCTATGGCATAGTCTGGGGCAGCCACAAAACCCTATGAGAGGCTTTGACGTGGATAACGTGCATACAGCCAGGACACCCTGCAGCAAATGTACGCGCCAGGGGCAGCGAAAAGATGCCCAATGTGTAAGTATGTTCGCGTTCGACATATGATCCCTACCCTGAATGGCTAAACCTCCGATATCGATCTACGTTCCACAGTATCCATTCTTCATGCGACAGCAACTCCAGCCGTGCAGGTTTCGAGATCAACAGCCCTAACGGACACTCCACCCTCGGTACCAGCCAGTCAGCATGATCAGCCAGGTACCACAGAGCCAAACCAGCTGAGATCGACGTCAGTCTTTGCCGGGTGCAGACTCGCCATGAAGAAGTTGGGGACGCCAGGTGGACCTGTCACCGTTATTTTGACCGTTATGGACGTGCGCTCCCGGCTGTCAGCTAATTCCCCTGGCGTCGATGACGATCGTAGCCTGGGTATGCCGGTGTTTGATGACGATGGCAATGTAATGAAGTGTGATCTTGGAATGAACCTTGAACAAGATGAGGACTGAGAAGGTATAAAGAGGGCGACGATGCCTCGACAATTGAACATCATCCAACACATTCAACTCACATCAACAACTCTACAACACCACTTCCAAACAACACTTCCTTCTTTCACAAGAACCAACCAACCCAACCAACCTTCAAAATGCAGTTCACCATCACCGCCATCGTTGCCTTCGCCGCCACCGTTGCCTTCGCTGCTCCCCTTGACGAGCGCCAGGTTGGCCTCTGCTCTTCCGGCAACCCCGTCTGCTGCGCTACCGATGTCCTGAACCTCGCCAACTTGGACTGCGCTCCTCGTACGCTCTTCCCATCTTCTATCCAAAAGACATGATCACTAACAGTTTCCTAGCTACCACCACCCCCACCAGCATCAATCAGTTCATCGACGGATGCGCTGAGTCCGGCCAGCAGGCCAAGTGCTGCCTCATCCCCATCCTCGGCCAGGCTCTCATCTGCTCCGACGTCAACCCCACTGCTGAGGCTCCCGCTACCCCCTCCGCATAAGCGTCTTTCGTCGCTTCTCATTCGGCATGGCGCGAATAATGTATAACCTCAACGATGGTCGTGCCTTGGTTTCTTAGACACTTGTAAAACATCTTTGCTTCAATTGTTTTAGAGAGGGCTTGAAATTTAATACACGTTTTCACTGGAATCACTCTTCTTGATATGGTGACATTGATGCTTTCTATGGACGACTGGAAATTCAAGTGAGTTTCAGAGGAATACAATCCATGTTGTGGGTGAAGTTTGCAATGGCGTGAAATACCGAGGAGGTACTCGAAGATTGTAAGGCTGTCGGTATGACAGCTGATAATGGTGTGAGATATATACAAAGACGTTCAGCTCACCCCTTTGTAATGTCAGGGAGCCACGTCGGCGCCAACTCCTCCCACAGTTTCTTGAGAGGGGGAGTCCTGTTGGCGTCGTCGACGTCGTAACGATGACCCAAGAACTCCCAGATGTTCTCCTGCAAAACCCGCTTGTGAAAGTAAAAGCAGGCTTTGTACCATGCGTCCCGAGAATCCCAATCTACGACCTCTTGGCACTTTTTGGTCATTTCTGCAGCTTTGAAGAGAAAATCAGAAACGTGCCCCAACAACGGTACCATCATGAGATCGTATCGATCAGGCCATTTGCATCCACGCCCTTGGATTCGAAGAACAATCGCAGCGCGCTTAAAAATAGGCGCCATTTTCTCAAGCTCTGCTTTCACATAGGAGGCCATGATGAACTCTGGATGGCTGACAGGTAGACTGGCAAGCTCCGGTACATCATGAGACCATATCTTGAAGCTAGCGGCTGCGTCGTCAGGCCAGCTAAACGACCTCCAGGAAAGTGCTTTGAGCTGATCATCTGGCAGACCAAACCAAGCCTCCTTGCTGAAGTCAATGAGGCCTGTTGCGCCTTGGGCCACTATCGGCTGCTGGAGAGGTGCCTGTTGGATAGGCGCGGGGGTACTCGGTGCCTTTTGCGGCTGCGGAGCGATCGGGATGGCGGGAGCGGGGAGGTGCTCAGTGGTGGTGGGGATGGCGGACAGCGTCCCCATCTTGGGTGCTGGAGGGTCTTGCGTACTTGACGCGGGAGGCTGGGCTGGCTTGACGATGACTGTGAGATCATCAAGGTGGTGTTCCAACCCCAACCAGATGGCAGTATCTCTGTACTGCTGGAGGAATGTTCGCAGCCTTCCATCTTCATCTTCCCGGATTTCCCACCCATATGGCCGAAATCGGCACCAGAACTCGACAATTGCGTCTTTCCAGATGAGGAAACTCGGGTCAAGGCCAGAAAGCCCTCTTGGGAAGAATGGCATCAGGTGCATTTTCGCTGCTACCATCAATGCCAAGATTTGAGCAGCTGGTGCCTCACACCCGGCATCAGTACCGATAGTACTTAGGAAGGATTTCATCTCAGCAACAACTAGATGCTTCTTATTCTCCACGTCTCGTAAAGTCCCTAGCTGAGGGTCGATCGAGGGAGCTGATGGGAGGGTAGATGGGGTTTGTGTAGGAGTGGGGATGTATATCGGAGGTAGCTCGACAACCTTATGGGCAGGTGCGATGACTGCATAGTCCTTCGTGGTAGTCGTTGTCGACTTCGTAGTGATTTGAGCCACTTCTGGCTTCGGTATGGTAGGTGCCGCGGCGACATTCTCGTGCTCGGTAGACCTATAGGCTGGTGGTGGTTGCCTAGGTGCAGACCGCCAGTAATCGCGTTCTTTGCGACGGGTATTGCCCCAAGAAGTCGACAGTTGAAGAACGGGATAGTGTGTCGGGTCGCGTCGATCGGAGTGTGCGAACGACTCGCCGGTGCCGCGGAAGTTGGTGAACGGCAACTCGAACGGCGGAGGGTATAAAGGAGGTGCTGGCTTAGTAGGTGCTGGCTCAGTAGGTGCTGGCTCTGCAGGTGGTAGTGTGACGGGTGGTGGTGTGGTGTGAGCGACGATGGGAGTGACAGGGAGTTTCGTCTCTTGCGATTGTCCCTTTTCGGCAGGTTCATGGAGGCCGTCTTGGTCGGCCTCGGGATGAGGGCCTATCCAGTAGGTGTATTTGATATATACGTATAGACAGAAGGTGAGGTGGATGCAGATGAGGAGTGCGATCAAGCGGAGGTAGAGGGGAACTCCTTCGAAGTTGTGGGTGAACTGATAGTAGACTTCCCAGAAGACTTCCCAGTATAGGTACGAGACGGCGATGTGGAGGCGGCGAACAGCCAACGGAAAGAACCCAGATGATGCGACGACGCGGCCGATGTCGAGGGCTACTAGCAAGAGGAAGCAAAGAAGGGCGATGGTGACAGTGCGCATCTTGTCGGTAAGGCGTGCGGCAGGTGAGCTCGCAAAGTAGGGTATGATGAGGTTTCGGGTATGGTCAGATAGAAGAGCTTGTGTTGGTTGCTGCGATGGAAAAGAATTGGAGTGTTTGGTTTGGAAACTGTGAGCAATGAAGTAGGATAGGTGTTTTGAGGCGTTGTATCGCTTTGTGTGTAGGCAAAAGATATTTTGACTGCTATTGTGGCTGGGTCCGTGCCTATTGTTGGTCACCGTGGAAATGACGACAGTTTATTCTAAAAAAGCGGTGGTGAGTCGCGAATTGCGATGCGGAGCGCTGGACAAACGGAAGGCTTGGCACGATACCGGCGGTGGACGAGAAGTGAAAGGGACAGCGACAAGACGCGCTATTCGCCGGAACGCTATCGTCATATTTGAATAGAATAGCGAGCCAGAAGAGACCCCCGGGTCAAAGTGTTTATGAAAGATGGCGTTCGCTCAAGTTGGTGCGAAGCACCATAGAAATAATATCCAGTTGAAGCCGGAAGGCGCGTAGTTGATGAGCCTTTACCTACAGATTCCTGTCGCAATGTAAGTTCCGACTTCAAGGCCTACGTCCAATCTGAAAATCTAAAGCCTTTGCGAGGATGTAGAGCATCTCCAACCGTACGCACGCCACACCCTTCTCCTTACCCATGCGGACAGGGTTGCCCACAATAGCCTCTACTTCTATCCTCCGGTTCGACTGAACGTCCTGAAGCATACTAGGTTCGATACCAGCGTTCGTCGGGATCCTGGCTTGCGCCCGGCTAAGCTGATTGTCGACCTGTTCCCGAGTGATTTCGTATCCATAGGCAGCTGCGATATCGCGAATCTCAAGCATCACGGCTAATACAACACCGTCGGCCTCTTCCGAAGCAGTCAAAATTTCTGTGTCTTTGCTCAGAGCGAGAGCACACATGGGGTTCCAGGATGCATTGACCAGTAGTTTCATCCATCGCTTGTGCTGAACGTCCTCGTAGAATTCCGCTGTAGCACCGGCTGCTGTGACAAGTTCCGTGAAAGCTTCAGCACATTTACTTGGTGCAGAGGAGGGATAGGATCCGACTTGAAGTTTCTCGACTTCACCGTGTTTGATGACGCCGGCTGGCCGTTGAGTCGCGGGCATGTAAACGACAGCGCTGATGATCGGGCTGTTTGGGTATGCCTTCAAGTATTCTTCTTCGATACCGACGCCATTCTGAATAAGTATGATAGCCGTATGTCCAGGTGTGACGGCAGGAGCGATGAGCTTCGGTACCGTATCCGGGATAGCCTTGCTACAGACGATGATGTAGTCAAATGGATCTGATGATTGAGACGCTGCTTCTCCACAGTCTCTGACTACATTGGGTCTGAAATGGAGGTTTTGACCAAATATTGATGAGTTGATGGTGAAACCATCTTTCTTTACGACTTCATAATTTGAGCGGCAGACGGCGGTGGTCGTGGCTACCTTGCTGAGCAGGTATAGATATACCGTTCCGACGCTACCAGCACCGAAAAGAAGAATATTTGGCTGCTTCCCCGAAGACATCATGGAACCTCAATATCGAAGATGGTGTTGTGCGTAGCTCTCCTGCAGTGCGACATGGAGGATTGGATGGTTGTCACAGTCATCCAACGGCTCTTTCCGTGGCCCCCAAATTTTCGCCGCGGAACGGGTACCCGCATCCTTCCCAAGCCAGCTTGGCGCTCCCTTACAGATCATCAGTAAGCCATCTGCGGGAACACTCAATCCTTCGTTTATACTCAAAGCAGTTATTAATCCATAATGGCAGGGGCCGTGTTGTTTGTTGGCTCGTTGCAAGCGCGCAGGCTGTCGCGACAACAGCAACATCTCAGAGGACGATCATCGCACACAACCAGATAGCATCCACTGTGATACAGCAGCACAGCTAATAACCCTGGAAAAGATATCAGTATCTCAGCCGCACTGTGGGCCCGCAGGAACACAGCGTGGCTTTTCATGCAATCTGGAGCCTCGCCTCGATTCGCTGCCTACGTTACCCATGCCGCATCCTGCATGCCAGGTCAGAAAAGGAGTGGTCAGGCGTGTGAAGCTATGATCGATACGACCCCCAAGAGCTGGGCAGCTAACTCTAGGTTGCCTTACGTCTTAAGCGATTACCAGTTCCATGCGCCAGCTGTGGTTATAACAGCTATGAGATGATCCGGCGCCCTCGTGTTCTGGTTGTCTGCTTAGCCGCCCCGCCAAAGCCAATTTGCGGCTAATGTACCGCGCGCCGACGCGATGATGCATAACCTTCTCTTACTCCTCCTTACCGCACTCGCAGCGCGTGTTTTCGCGACGAGTCAGATAGCCCTCTTCGAGGATGATAACTGCCAAGAGTCATTGCGAGGTTTAGAGGGTCCAAACGGCTATCCGAATGGTACCTGTACAGATCTCAGGCGCAATGGCCCTTATGGGAGCTTCCAGGTCGTCGGCCTGGACCCAGGATGCACAGGTATGTTGCTGCGTGACAGGGTGGATGCGAGGACGGCCATACTGACATTGCGCGCAGTCACCATATACATGAATGACACCACCGTCGACATATGCTCCGGCTTCCAAGAAGAGATACAACCGATCGACTGCTACAACTCGACCTTCGTATACTACAGTATCGACTTCTGCGACGCCGCCGCCATTGGTGAATCGCCATCTGCCACGTCCACGCCTACACCTACATCGACCCCGTCGTCCACAGCACCTCCCTCAGGCTCCTCAGGCTTGTCAACGGGCGCGATAGCGGGGGCAGCAGTTGGAGGAGGCATAGGTCTCGGCATAATAATCGGATTAGCGGTGTTCTTCATCATGAGGAGGCGGCATTCGTCACACTCACAGGAGATGTCAGGGTCTACGGAGCTTACGAGCGTAACGCCTTATGAGGTACACGCAAAGCACATTCAGGAGCTGGGACCGGGCGCGGTGGCATACAAACACGAACCTGTGGAGATTGCACAACCGCCTGTTGAGCTTGCGGGCACAGAGACGATGAGGCATGAAGGAAAAGGACTGCATTAGGATAACATGCACATTCGTCTTATGATCAGCACGAAGCGAATCAAGTTGTTACTCTACAACTCTGTTCCACCCGTCTCGTGTATGCCCAACACCACGTTCACTCAGACGCCGGAGAGCCTCTTAACCTTCCGGAAATGTGTCGGCAAACGTCCATTCACCATTTTGACAGACGATGTCTCTTGCCAGCGCTGCTTCACCAACATCGAACGAAACCCTATGGGAATAAACCTCGCCTGCCTCACTCCTGATGCCAGCGCCCATGAACACCGTTCTCGGCTGACTGCGCATTGCACTCAGAGCAAGTTGGACCTCTTCTGGGTCGAAGAGTCGCAAGACCCCGTCATCTTCTGGGCTCCAGCGTCTCACAGACATCGATGAATGCGGATAAGGTGCTTTCTCGAGCAACTTGACTAGCCACAGGTACTCAATCTGAGGCATCGTCTCGATGATCTGTAAGGGTTCGGTCCATTCCCCTTCCGGAAAGCCTATGGATGAGCATGACAGGCTTCTCAGTGTACCGGCGTGCGTGCGAAGGAAATTGGTCCAGTCAGTGTGTGAAAAGAACACGTCTTCCAGATGAAGATGTGAAAATCCAGGCCAATGGAAAGGTCCAACTGGTTGATAAGACAGTTCCATGAAATGATTGTCAGCTCCAAACTCGAATTTGCGCAGACTTGAGGTTGCGCTGAGCAATCGGCACAGCCAGCCACGATCCACTTGGCCCAAGACACTGACGGAGTGGACTTGTCTTGATAGCTGACTCTTCCAAATTTCGCAGTCGAGATCCAAGAATGTGACCACATCTTCGTTGGAATAATCCGTGTTCCAGAACTCAAACTGCAGGCCGACTTTGTCATGTACACCGGCGTCCAGGAGAGCCTCCGGAATCAAATCGTACACTCGGTTCTTACCGCTGTCTCCGTGCCTCTCACATGAACCAGGTGGGTTGAAAAGCTTTGACGGGATGATATGGGTCAGTCCACACCTGATGCCGGCGTCGACTGGCTCTTGTTCGACATGATAGAAACTGATGACATCGACTTGAACCATCTCTAAATTCTCTAGCTCCCGGAAGGCCTCTGTGAGAGTCAAAAAGTCCATACCGGAGCGCTCGACGTTGACTTGCAGATCCTTGTGGAGTTTTTCTTGTCCGATTCCACGTATGCTCTGTCCAATGCGTTCGCCGCTCACCGTGATTTTGCGGACATGCTTGGATAGTACAGTATGATGGCAGATCTCGAGAAGCGTCGTGAGGCTGGTAGGATGCAGCAAGACGATGAGGTGATTGAAGAACCGCTTGCCGAACGCGTTGGCCGAGTGCGCACTGAGTGCGCGACATGCGCAACGTACATTGAGAAGGTCAGCATCCTCAAGGCGGTCGCAGACGCTGCCTACGATCTCAGCTGGGAGGTCAAGTAGTCGAAAGGGTAGCTGCGATGCTGTAGCGAGAGCTGCCCTTGCCCTCTCGCGAGCAGTGATCATGTCTATGATGCAATGCCCGCAAATGTGCAGCGATGGAGGAGATGAAGTTGAAAAGCCGGCGTCGATGTGAGGTGAAAGATCGTGTGAGCGAGACGCTCTTGCCCGTTTGTCAACAACAGGGTCGTGCGTTCTACGCTAGGCCTGAAACCGAACTGAGAGAAGGTACGACAGAGGCAGCCGGCAGCGGAGAGCATTCCTGGTGCCTGATGGATTTCACAGATAAAATGTCACTCAGTCATCTGCGAGGTAAAGTAGGCTATGCAGTTATCATGGCGTATATACCTAGCTATCGCTTCTCAAGCCAGTCCCTACCCGCAACGGCAATGCATACGTAGCTTGATATCGGAACGTCGAAATCGTTGCTTGAGTCCGACCAGCTACCCCAGTATCCTGTGTCTGAAAAGGCTACATGTAGTATCGTGGTCGTTTTTTGATGCCAGATGACGCGTTTCTAATCAAAAAGTCCCCACATCTAGGTCTTGACGCTCCCAAAAAGTCAAACAATATATTGTTTCTGTAGATACACGTGACGTTCCCCCATTCCTTACTTGCTGTATCTCTGATGCGACTGATGTCTACCCGACTTTCTTTTTGGTGGCAGTATCATTCGTGACTGCCATCTAAATAATCCCACCCTGTTTTGTTACAGATATCCACAAATTTTCCCAACACATCCCACCGGGAGCAAATCGGCAAAGCAGCCGACCATGCGGATTCCAGAGCACCGTTGGCTAACGTAAAGTCGATGTGGTGGCGATTTGTGTCAGCAAAGGGTTTGAGCCCGATGGTGTGTACTGGAAGTAAAGCTCCGAGGGCGAGCAAGGTATCCGCTCGGTTGCTACATGCGGTGCCGTCAAGACTTAGTGTCGGCCTCCCGTTGCAACATGGTTCCAGCACTGGACAGGCTATACTCTGGCTTAGGCGAGTAAAGCATATACTTTGTAAAGCCGGTAGATTGTGGATAGTTTGTAATATTTCCGCCCAAGATCCCTCCCCCAGAAAGACATACTTTAGTGTGACGGAGACAAGGGTACCCTGGTGGGCCTTGAAGAAGTCGTTGAGGACAGTATTCTTGATGCGGATAATACCACTGATGATAGTCAGAGACCGAAGGTGCGGCCAAACATGCAAGCCACCTTGGGCGTTGTCAAACCTGATCTCTCCACGACGAGGAAGCAGACTGAGTTCCTGCAGTGACGAGCACGAAGCAGCAATGCGGTGAGCCCATTTACCACTGCTTCCAGTAGTAAGTATAACCTTGCGGACCCTGGATGATAGAAGGTCCTTCCAAGAAGGCAAACTAGGGTCGAAAAGCTCATAAGGTACAGGCGAGAAGAGGAGACTGGGAAAATTTTGGAAACGCAAGTTCAAGTCTAGGTGGATCGTATCACAAAGCTTGGCTCGTTTGGCGGACTCTATGACCACAAGAAACACGTGGCCGAGAACGGTAAAGTCGCCAGAACATTGTGTCATATCGAGCCTTTCTGGGCCACAACGAAGACCGATCGATTCCGGAGAAAGATAGCGTGTCTGTAGGTACGAATAAGTATCTATTCGAATGGTCTCCAGATTCGCGAAACTCCGAAGCGCCTCGGTGAGCATATCTTCCACGGTCGATGCAGGTATGCCAGCGTAGGTCGTCGAAGGTGGACCAGTTTCGCCGCTGATCGACAGAGTCTTCACGAACCGCGAAAACTTCTGGTAATGGGCGTAGCGCAACAAGACGGTCAAGCTCTCCGTGTGGGGTATCACCGCAAGATGAGTGAAGAAGCGTGATCCGAAAGTGAAGGCCGAACGATGGCTGAGAGTGCGACAGACTAGTCGAGTCTTTCGCAATGAGTCGTCGTCCAAGTCGTCGCAAACGCTGCTGAACAGCTCCTGGTAGTTGAGAAAGCCATTAGCACACGATCATTGCACCGAGCGTCAGAGAGCACTACTTACGAGAGGCAAGTCAACGATCCGGAAGAAGCTGGGGCCGTGCAGACTAAGAGCGCGGAAAGCGACACTGAGCTCGTCCATGGTGCCGCCGTTTCAGCTGACTGCGCAGCTTGCGCGTCTCGAGTGAGAGAGAGAAGCGCGGATGTTGAAAGTGCGTAGACGAGCTTTGTAGCTAACGATTGTTGGGTGTCAACTGCCCGCGCGCGTTCACCTGCTAGCGCCAAGACTGCGCGTTTGCTTGTGATCAATCCATCTCAAGTCTTCCTTAGCGATATCTCAACAACCTCACACTTCGACATATCATAGGAATGGAAAAGTGACTGATAAGAGGTAATAATAAATGTACAAACATGAAAGAAGTCTATGGCCCCAGACCAGAAAGGGACATGATTACCCAAACTGCAACGCCGATAAATGCAGCTCCTGATATCGCAAACGAGCATGTTCCCAAACTCCAAAAGCATTGGGTGATACCCAAATAAAAGACCAGACGTGCACATCCTGAGAAAGGGTCCACCGTCAATACACCTGATTGTACCCGCCTCTCTTGTACATTATTCGTGCCAACATCAGCCCTAAAAATATTCTAAATCTTCCTCTTCTTTGTATGAAACATGTTGTATTCTACCCTCTTCCTCTTCGGCGCCGGATCGGCCGCTGCCTGCGCATTCGTCGGCTTCGGCTTGGGTGCGCTGAAGTGCATCCCAGGCGGTAAGGAGGTCCGCGTGGGTGGTGGCGGCGCATTGCGTTGCTGCGGTGCAGGCCTCTGTGTAATGGTCGGGCGATTTGCGGACAGCGACGGCGCGGGCTGAGTGTCAGGCTTCTTCGAAACGGATGCCGAAGCTTGCTTGGACACTACCATACTTTTGGGAGCCTCATTCTCCGCCATTCGAACCATCCTTGCCGGTGCTTGCCTGACGTTGGTCTTTCGCTGAGCTAGAAGATGTGCTGGAATTTGGCTCGCTTTCGGGCGCTCGCGGCCATGGTCGAACATGCCGCGCTTCAGCTTGTCGAAGGCGGCTTTACCTGTCTTTGAAGGGGCACCAGATGGTTGCCCCCAGCTGCTGGTAGTGCGTCCAGTGAACATCTTGCTTGCGCCGGCACCATATCCAAACCTGGTCTCGACGATCAAGGTCTTGTTCTGTCCGCGATCTTTCTGAAGCGCTTGCATCTGCTGTTTGAGGGCCTCTTTATCCGCCTCTATCTCCAGTTCCGCATCTTTCTTCAACTTGCGATACACCTTGCTCCAGTTTCGAGGATCCCGCGGCTCATGGGGCTTCGTCTCCCAGTTCGGAATGTCTCGCTTGATAAAGCGAAGCCATATCTCGCCTGTCTCGCCGAGTAGTTGTGGGCAGTTGGCCTCGAGTTCGAGCAGCTGATCGGGGCTTTGTATGAATCGGAGGACTGGCTGGAGGAAGGAGTAGGGTAGATCGCCGACGTCGCGGAGCATATCGATATTCTTGATGAGGCGCTGTCGAGCCAGCTCGAAGAGGCTTGCGACGGGCATGGCGACGGTAATGTTTATGCGGAGGATATATCCAAAAGCGTTGCGTAAGATGGTGTTGTGAGGCGGAATGCGAAGATCAAACGGGTCGGAATGTGAAGGTTTTGGTCGTAGAGAGGTGATTTGCTGACAGGTTCGTTGGTGTTCGTCGATAGGGTGTCGTCTATTTAATATGAATCATGGACAGGCGGAACGAGGGCAGCGTGAACCGTAGATGGGGCTGAGGACCCCACGGGGCTCACGGCAGCATGTTGGTAGGCTAGTCCGGATCAAGAAGCTTGTTGTAACCTTGGAAGAGTTACGCTTGCCAGAGCAATGCGAAGCGATGAACGGGAGAGTGATGACGAGAGTGAAGAGTGAGTGAAAGTGTAGAAGGCGCGGTGGTCGGTCTGTGACGTTTGGTGGTGATCATAGGCGCTAACGGACCCCTGCCAAACGCGTTGATCGATTCAACTCTTGGACCTCAGCATCGCGACATTGACGACGACGACGTACGATACCACAAACAACATCTCCCCGTTCTTCGACCATTCAGAAAATATGGCGATCAACGACTGGGGTCTGCTTTCCCAGCCGGATGAGGGTAAGGCGTCTTTCACTCACTAGAAAGCTCCGACTAATTCCAGCAGATGCGCTGCACAATGTAGCCCGCCTACTAGCTGTCGAAGCACGCCCATACACAAACACGGCCAGTCGCATACTCAAACCAGACTTCTTCGAGGATGCGCGCCCCAGACAACTCCCCTCCCCGCCCCCGGATGCCTCAGGCGCAGAAGAGGAAGCCGCGGCAGTCGCTGTCGAGCGCGAGCAACAAGCGCACAAGATCGAGATATGGCGGAAAGACATCATGAACGAGCTGTCACTGCTGGACTTTGCGATTGTCCGATCCGAATTCACTACGAATAGCAATCACACTGAGCGCGCGCGATACGCCGATGAGAAGACGGCCATCGAGGCAAAGCAGGAACACGTGCGCAAGAACATAGAGAACCTGCGCGTCAGACTGGTCGAGGCGAAAGAGACGCTGGCCGTGCGTAAGACGTACGACGAGCTCACGGAGAAGATCACCAACAGCAAGATGCTGAAACCACGGGACGAGCAAGCACACGCCCACGAGAAGCTGGACCAGGAGATAGAGGAGCTCAATTCAGAAGTCCGGTTGGCTAAGGCTACCTGGAAGGAGCGACGCACGCAGTTCGGACGAATCGAGGAAGAAGCACGCGGCATGTTGCGCATGATCAAGGACGAGAAGGAGGAGGCTGAGCGCAAGGAGGGCATGATGAAGGATGGTGACGAAGATGGTGAAGGCGAGGGCAGCACCTCCAGAGGAGACGTTAGCCATGCCGGTACACCGCGACCAGATGGTGGCATGACACCTGGGCATGCCAGCCAGAGCGGAGACGGCTCTTCGTCACTACGGGTACCACCACAAGATCGCCTGAAGCCTCTATCACGGGAAGCCAGCGCCGCACCCTCACCTGCTAGATCTGGTGCCGCCGATGACACAGAGATGGCAGACCTTGGCGCACACTCAGGAGATGCCAATGATGGTGACTCTTCTGGGCTGGAAGAGGGCGAGGATCTTGAAGATGGGGAGGAGGATGGCGAAGATCGCACAGACACCAAGATGGACGAATCGTGATCACATGTAGATGATGATTCTTTGATGATTTGATTGCATAGCGCGGTGTTCGGGTATCATTCCATCATCTTTGTACCACTACCATACGGCAGCGGTACCGACTATCTCTTCGGTAGTTACGAATCTAAGAAGCTTCACGCATGGCCGCCTTGCCCTTTTCGACAGCCTCTTTCGCCTTGGTGATTTCCTCCGGTGATGCCTGGGCGCCGCCTTCTTTGTTGTTCTCCTACAGATTGTTAGTACGGGATACCCAGCTCATAGCATCCTAAACTTACGAGCTCCTCCTCCAGCCTCTCAACTGCCTGCTCAATCTTGATCTTCATGCCAGGCAGAACGTTCTTGGTCTCCTGGAGTGCTTGACGCTACACCGCAGTTAGTGATCATGGTCAGTATCAGGATTGCCGAGACTCTGTACCTCTTGCTTTAGGGTGTATTCGCCGTTCTCATCTCCCTCATTGGCCTCGGCCTTCTTGATGCGCGCCTCTTGTTGCTCGATCTCCTTGTGGTAGCTCGCTTCTTCCTTGACAAGGCGGGTTACCACGCCAGTTGCGATCGCGAGTTTGGAGGGAGGCGCCATGATCAAGATTGATATTGGTTATGGGTGGAAGTGTTAGGTTTGTGATTCAGAAAAGGCAGAGAATGAAGACTGGGGGTTTAGTTGAGCTAATTAGTGTGCTGTTCGTCGTTGCCTGCTTGTAAACATTTGTTCACAGCGGGGCTAGCTGCCCCACTAGGTAGGATTAGTCTACAGCTTGTCTACATGTGTACACACAATGCTGTCAAATCGCACTCGATGTTTGTTGAATGTCCTCGGTGTCTTTCATAGAAAGAAACACTCAGTAGTAGTCGTCTTTTGACCTGCGATTGGACTTGTCTCAGGCATGCCAAGACCACTTACGTCCATTTGCAGACTAGCCCAGAACGCGTCCCACGCGTCGCTGCGAAAGGAGTAGGCGCGACAAGCCCACCTTCCCTGGCAACCCCTCTACAACATCAACACATTCACCGTTGTTGCCGCATAGAGCACCGCAACCATGTCTTCTCCCGAGAAGCGCCGCTCTCAGCGCACTTCAGCGTCGGCGACTCCACGGCGAAGCGCCCGTGGTCAGAATTCTCAGATCTCCGACAGCAGCCCAGCGCCAGTAGGTCCAGAGGAGCAGTTACAGTCAGAGGCTTCGCAGGCGTCGCAACGTGGATCGCAAGCAACTCCCCGCAATGCAAGATTCCAGACCACTTCGACACAATCCCCACTCTTCTTCCGCTCGTCTCCTGCGAACCCTTCCAATTCGGGGCCAGCTAATGGCGAGGAAGAGAGTGATGGCGGTGCGACACCAAAAGCGTCTGCCATGACGATTGGAGGTATGCAGAAGTCGACATGAGTTCCCGGGCGTACCACTAACAGACTCAGATTCGTCGCCCATTCACTATGCATCCAGCTCCAGCCCTGGCCGAGCCCGCAACGCCCAGAGCAACGTCCCTGGAAGCAGCAGCAGCGCTCTTTTCGTGGGCGGCTCCGAGTCTGCAGCCCGCAATCGACGAAGCGATATCCACTCAGACGTCTTCGGCACCAGCTCTACCAATCGCCGGCGCAGGCTCTTTGTCGACGAGAATGGCATGCCAGTGCAGGAGGCTTCGGACGCGCCGACCTTCTCCAACATCAACCCCGACACGTCAGACGCAGACGTGTTGGGCGGCAACTCTACTCGAGTTATTTGGGGAACCAATGTGTCGCTTGTCGATGCCAGACATGCCATGAGAGACTTCTTGATGAACTTCCGAAGGAAGTATCGCATGGTTCAGGATGGCGAGCTGGCTGAGGGCTTGAGTCTTCCAGACAGTCACCCGGCCATGGCCAGGGAATATGTCGACATCATGAAGATGATGCTGGAGCTCGGTGTCACGCCATTGAACCTGGACGCGCGCAATCTCAAGTCA